TCTGTATCTGTATCTGTATCTGTATCTGTATCTGTATCTGTATTTGTATCTGTATCTGTGCCTGCATCTGCATACCTGTATCTGTGGCTGTATCTGTATCTGTATGTGTATCAGTATATGTATCTGTATTATGTATCTGTATGTGTATCTGTATCTGTATCTGTGCCTAGCTGTATCTGTGGCTGTACCTGTATCTGTACCATCAATCCAGTATTTTTCTCTGTATCTATCTATATTCAGGATATATACATGTGTTAGTGTGTGAACCACTGTGTCAGTAACTGATTATATAAGGTTAAAGTATAGGCGTCCACCACACATAGAAGAGAAATTTTTCTACCCGTTGTAAAACTGGTTTAGATAGATAGATATACACACTACAAAGGGATAATACTGTCCTTTTAAACTATAGGTAATATCTAAAAGCTAAATGTTCAAGGGCGTACACAGGGGGGGAAGTGCCCCACCCCCTAGACCTGTTAGACCCCCCACCCCATGACTAGACAGACCCCTAGACCTAGAAATCAATAAGCTATAACACTTTTAAAATAAAAAAAATAAAAAATAGTTTGTTGTTAACTTGTTTTCAAGGGCGTATGCGCGCAGAAATAAATGTGGGGGGGGGGCGAAATTTGCGCTAAGCGGAAAAAAAATTTGAACTGTATATTCAAAACATTTAGCTTCTATGATATCAGGCATTAGTATAAGATACTGCAGGGGCTTACGAGAGCATTTGTGTAGGGGGTGCACATTTTTCTGTGCCCCCCCTTCTCAACATTATGCCCCCCTTTAAAAACCCCTTTTTGGAAAAATATTAATATAGCTTCAAGGGATGAAAAATAGAGATGGAAACGTTTCTAAAAAACATCTATATTTTCATAGGATCGATATTGTTTTATAAATTATGATATGATATATATATATATTTACACTAAAGGTAAGTATGATTATAGCTTTTTTAATGAAACTTTTTTAGTTAAGGGCAAAAGTGAAAATTTTAAAGTATTTTTTTTTATTCGATGTAATTATACTTAAATGGAATAAATGCGTAATTTCAGTTGACCCTCCATTTATAGAGTGGCATGTCCGATGTACCTTTGAAACCTTCATTTCTCCATCGTTTCTGAAGAAAGAGATGCATTAGTTACTTTTGTAGAAAAACCAAAAATAAAGATAATCAGTTAGTTTTCAAAATGGAAAACATGGATATTTAATGCAATACTTGATCAGACAAAGCTTTGAAGGGCATTGTTGTGAATCAGAATATATTTTATTTCTTTGTTTAATCTTTAAGTTTGGGCGAGTGAAATATGCAATGCAATGTAGAATTAGATTGCCTAAGGAAGGTAAATGCAAGCAGATGTAATATTAAAAGAACCCACTCCATGGGTGCCCCCCCTCAGGGGGTGGGGGCGAGGAAGCGTAGGGGGGCTCGGCCCCCCCCCCTCCTCGTACGCCCCTGCTTTAAAGGTACACATATAGTGTGCAATTACCTTGCAAAAACTATACTTTTATCTTTCCTTCAGACAAAACTAACAAAAAAAGCATTGTTTCTAAACAATCGACATTTTATTATACTGTTATGTTAGTAATAATTAGTATTTAAACTAGAGATATGTCTAGTAAAAGACATTTTTGAAAATGAAAAACTCAACTTAAACTTTTATTTTATGAGATGAAAAAAGGACAAAGGTCCAGAAAATAATTATGACTTGTAAAAGTTTCTGTTGTGAAAAAATAGTAGGAGTACAATTGTAATTTATGTAATAAAGCTCTATTTTCATTTGTGTGTTTGCTATGGCTGGCCAAACAACTGAACCACAAGGGCTGAATTTTAGTGAGGAAACTCATGGATATAATCTTGGGGATGACATAGGCTTAAATAAATTAAAAGTTTCTTGTTTTGATTCGATTTTTAAAATTCCACGGGCAACGCCGGGCACTTCATCTAGTCAAGGGCGTATACAAGGCCCAAGGCAAGGGTGTTAGCAAGGGTGTTAGTGCCCCCCCTAGACATGCTCAGACCTCAGAGCTTTCACACTTTTGAACTCTTAAACTAAAGAGTGAAGAACATAAAAATAATTAGTTTAATGTTCTTTCAGTTTCTTAAGAAAATTGTATACGTGGACCAGAGCCACCATGACAGAAGCCTAAATGAAAAATATCGATCTAGAATGCACTGCACATTCATCCTAGTCGGATAGGCGCTATCAGGGTTAACGAAGTAAAGCAATTATTTTAAATGCCAAGCCACGAAGGCTTGGAGGTAAGAAAAGACCATTTTTTGTTTTATTAATTTAGATTTCAAATTACTTCATTCATTGCACCGCCGTTATGTAATCTTTCTTTTTATTAAAAACTAGATAGGGGGACTGAGACGACTGTACCTATCATTACTATAGTCTTTTTTATTAAAAACTAGATAGGGGGACTGAGGCGACTGTACCTATCATTACTAGTCCTTTTTATTAAAAACTAGATAGGGGGACTGAGACGACTGTACCTATCATTACTAGTCCTTTTTATTAAAAACTAGATAGGGGGACTGAGACGACTGCACCTATCATTACTAGTCCTTTTTATTACAAACTAGATAGGGGGACTGAGACGACTGTACCTATCATTACTAGTCCTTTTTATTAAAAACTAGATAGAGGGACTGAGACGACTGTACCTATCATTACTAGTCCTTTTTATTAAAAACTAGATAGAGGGACTGAGACGACTGTACCTATCATTACTAGTCCTTTTTATTAAAAACTAGATAGAGGGACTGAGACGACTGTACCTATCATTACTAGTCCTTTTTATTAAAAACTAGATAGAGGGACTGAGACGACTGTACCTATCATTACTAGTCCTTTTTATTAAAAACTAGATAGAGGGACTGAGACGACTGTACCTATCATTACTAGTCCTTTTTATTAAAAACTAGATAGAGGGACTGAGACGACTGTACCTATCATTACTAGTCCTTTTTATTAAAAACTAGATAGGGGGACTGAGACGACTGTACCTATCATTACTAGTCCTTTTTTATTTTCCAACTGCAAGTTTGTAGCTTTTGTTTTGCATTTATTTTTAACGCTTAATCTCGATATCCAATGATATTTTGCCCTGTTAACTACAGAAAGTCTAATGAAATAGTTATACAATTCATTGTTCATAAAAATATATTTCAGAATCCTCCAAGATCAATCTCAGATATTTTATTTGGTAGATGCAATTTTAACATGATACAACAATTTATAAACATTTGTTTCCAGAACGCCATCTTCCCCCCCCCCCCACACAGTTTATTTAGATAAATTCATGGCATTTTCAACTAAACCCTTGACTAGGTCAATGCACATTATTTCAGAAACAAGTTCGGAACTTCTTTTTTTGCACAATCGTATATCAGTGTTGAATCCCCTCCACTGCAACTCCTGCTTATCTCCGGGGGAGACAACAACAACATCAAGATGCAACATCATATGATTCTTGAAGTTGTTAATATTATTAAATATTGCAAAGCATTTGTTGCATTCGAAACCTTTGGATTCACAGCCAAAACCTGTTTCTACGCTTAAAACCGGTTTTGCTACAAAACTGGAAGCTGGAGAATGCCAAGCTGGTTTCTGTTCAGTGGTCTTCCATCCTGTGCGCACCTCTGGAATGTTGAACTCTCCGAGGCCTTTAGTTTCAACAACCTCGGTACGGAACGTAATCACGGGAACTTTAAGTTCAGCCTCGAAAACTGGTCTCCGGACAGTGGCCTCCACACTGATATCGTCAACCTCAGGAAATAGTGTGACACGAGGAAGTAATACCGGAAGTTCTTCCAATTTAGTAACTTCCAGTTTTGGATTTCTTGGTGAGATCATTATTATTGCAGATTTGAGGCGCCTTCGTATGCTTGGGATACACTGTAACTCATACAGACGAATCTAAAATAAAAAAAACTTAATATTGTCTTGCCAGGATTAGTTAAAAGTTAAATAAGATTGGAAATTACGTAAAGAAATTAGAAAGGGAGTTAAAGATGACTGTAAAACAAGGAAAACGGAAAAACATCTAAGAATTAATGCATTTTTCTATTATTTTCGATGAATGCAGCAGAGACCATGAAGAAAATTGTCAGAATTAAACACGAATTTAAGAAAGAAATTCCCACAATATATCTTCCTCATGATTATATAAAATGTTTAAGATACGCCATAAAAAAGGTTTAAGATAAGTTATATACAAGGTTTAAGATAAGTTATATAAAAAGTTTAAGATAAGTTATACAAAAGGTTTAAGATAAGTTATATAAAAGGTTTAAGATAAGTTATAAAAAAGGTTTAAGATAAGTTATATTAAAGGTTTAATATAAGTTATATAAAAGGTTTAAGATAAGTTATATAAAAGGTTTAAGAGGTTTCAAATGTAAATTGGAAATGACACTCTTGAAATGGAGGATCACTTGGTAGCCTGCAACACATCAAACCATAGGTAAATGGGACAAGAAATTCATTTCCGAAGTCAAAATAGTCCCTTTAAGAATTGAATTTACCTGTAGCTGATGACCTGAACCTCTCCAGGTAGGAACCTGAGCAGAGAACTCTTCTCTCCAGAGTTCAAGATAATTTAACCTTGAACCTTCAACCTCTTGCCTCGTCTTAGCACGTTGCCTGTACATATCGATATTCAATAATATATAATTACTAGCTGAAGGGCCCGGCGTTGCCCGTGGAAAATAAAAAAATAAAAAATTTTGAACAACAAAATTTAAGTTTTTTTTTTCGATTTTTGTTCAGCCTATTACACCGGCCCCCCGGCCACCCATGAGTATCCACAATTTTTTTTAAGCCCAATCTGTCTAGCCGTTTGACCGGATATACGCAACATATATATACGAATGTCTTGTTTTATTATATAGATCTATATTTAGTGAATCATTGACGACTTTAAACTATTATTATTCAATTTAAAAATCTAAAAATACAAGGCTATTCTTAACTTTTCCTTAATTGTTTAAAACTTCACATTTCCTTTCATCCAATCCAATACAAAGTGTTCCACTATTCTTGCATCTAATACATTTTCAATTTTGGTCATCCATTTGATTCACCAATCCGATCCATTTAAAACCCTTGATCAACGATTCATCCCATCCATCTTAAATTTCCTAAAATTTAACTATCCCTGAAAAGCCACCATTTAGACAATCATTATACACAATCTTTTTTAGAAGTGAATCATGCGTATATTAGCTTGGTCGTTTTAGACAAAGAGGTGTACCGTCCCTAGCCCTTAAGTAGACAGAACCCCCTAATTAAATGTCCCAACTTTTAATCTTCGGTAAATTGTATTATCAGTAAACAACTCAAATCCTTAGCGGAACCGATATACACAGCCCTTTTATGTGAAAATTGTAAATTTTATAAACTGGACCAATTTAGAAGTGCCGCAAGGAATAAACTTTTGATTTGGCACTACCAAATACTTCTATATTTTAAATTAAATTTTTTTTAATAATTTCTTTAGGAGGAAAAATCCATAATGGGGTTTTTTTGCCAGACTGTGAAAATTAAGTTTATTGCAAACTAAGCCGTTGAACTAGACTGTGAATATGTTAGTTTACAGTGAGATTAAGTTTAGGTGCAAACTAAGCCATTAAACTAGACTGTGAATATTTTAGTTTAAAGTGAGATTAAGTTTAGGTGCAAACTAAGCCATTAAACTAACCTTGTCTTGATAAGCTGCTTAACCTCCTGGGGAAGCTTCTTAATATCCTGCAGCTTCTTGAGATCAAACCTAGGTATATCGGAGCCAGGGAAGCAGTCTGGAATCATAACAGGAGCAGCTCTCAACATCCTTTGCCTTAATAGAGGAAAACTTTGCAAAAACATAAAAAATATGTACTTAAAAGCACTTTACACGGAATGTCAAGTGACCCTTCATTGCAAGTGTGGCATACCCGATTGAAAAATATACCCTTAAACGTTTTTGTTATTATAAACCGAAAATTATGAAAATACTTTTTTTTTAAATTGATAATTGCAAATTATAGTTTCGCCCTATGCAAAAGTGACTTGCAAATTTCTTGATACAGAAACAATGGAGGAAACTGTGAGACAGTGCTCGCATTGCAAAATTTTATATATGAAAACTGTTTAAAAAATTTTATCTTAAAAAATTTAATTTTACCTTTTTTCTTCTTCCTGTTCTTTTATCAAATCCTGTTTAAGCTGTTCAAACTTCCTAAGATTAAAAACGTTAACATATTATTTTATTTAAAGGGAATGTAAGCGAAATTTTAATTGACCCTCCTTGCAAAGATGAACATGCCCAAATCACAACGGTACCCTTCAAAACCTTTATCTGATCAACAATATGCAAATATAGGCAATTTTCTAAGTTTTAAAGTGTTTATTTCTGATAATTCCTTTTTTCTGCAGTAGAAATGCGCAAGTTACTTTAGTAGAGAACAACAATTGAGAATTATCTGTCAAAATTGAAAATGTCTAGTTCATATTTGATCAGACAAAGCTTTAAAGGGTAGCGTTGTGAATCGGGAATCAATAAAGGGTCACTTGAAACTACACTTACATTCCCTTTAAGATTTTTTATTTTGAAATATAAATTTTAAGGATTGTTTCTAAGAAACTACTTGTATATATTTGCCTGATATAAGTATTGAGTGTCCAGGCTGATATTCCAGCTTGATTAGGTCGGGCTAAACTCCACTCTTCAACCAATAGATCTTCAAGCTTAGGAACCTTTACCCTGGAATACATTAGTTTTATTGTCAGTGTCATTGTGAGTGTCATCGTCATCGTCATCGTTCATATCATTGTCTGTATTATTGGCATTGACATTGTCATTGCCATTGACATTGGCATTGTCTTTTACATTGTCAATGCATTGACATTGACATTGGCATTGACATTGGCATTGACATTGACATTGAATGCATCGAAATTGTCATTGGCATTTGCGGTGTCCGTGTCAGTTTAAATATTATCTGAGATTATATAGGGATAAATAAAATTGTTTTATCCAAGTAAACTTTAAATACATAAATTATCAGTTGAGATTATATGAAAATCCAAATCTGATTAATAAGATATAAGTAAAATTGTACAAGATGAATATAAATTCTACCTTGGATTGCTATATGCTGACTGAAGGCTGCCATGTTTCTTTATTGCCCAAGCTTCCCATTCTTGTCTTCTTAATTTTGCATTTCCTTTCGCCTTGATTAGAACACTCAGGGTAGTGCTGTTCCAAACCTAGAAATAAAATACATCAAACCTAATTTCATTTATCTGAATCTTTCTTGAGAACATCAATTGAATTAGGCTTGATTGACAAATTAACTAAAGTTGCCTGGAAACAAAGGAAACCTGATTTGTGGAAAATGGCATGACACCAAATTGTAAAAAAAAAAATTACGAGGTTGGTAAAATTAGGTGTTTAAGTCCATTGTAAAACCCCCCTCCCCCGTACCCTTCCAATCTCTACTGTTTATAAAAGTAAAAGTTCAAATTCCCACTTCAAGCATATCTTCAAGTGACCCTCCATGCAAAGATGACATTGCCCAATCCCAACAGTATCCTTAAAAGTAAAACTTTAATCTGAGCTGGGAACTTTTGAATGGTGGATATCGGGATTAAGGCTTGATCCACTCATTTTCTTAATCTCGAGATTAAAAAATGCTTGTTTCCTCTTGTTATTAATCTTCAGATTAATTAACCGATCGGGATTAAGGATATCCCATTCTAAAGTTTTCAGCTCTGATCAATAAAGTGGACAAATTGACGTACTCTTATGTTTAAACTGTATGATTCTTAAATGTTTTTCTGTAGCAAAAAAAGCGCGAGTCACTTTTGAAAAGAAACCATCTAATTCATACTTNGCAATTACAGATGGTTTAAATTTTCCCAGGGTTGAGGCTAAAAATGTTTGAAACTCATTAAATTTTCCAGGGAGAGATTGGATATTCAAAGACAAAATACTAAACTGCTCTGTTGAAATACTATTAAATTTTTTGTTAATCTCATCTTCATCATAGTATTGACAATTATGAATATTATTTTCATAAACCGAATCTTTAAAATTGTAAAACGTTTTAACAAAGCAAGATAATTTCTAACCAGCTCCACTAACGGCAATATTTTACTGTTCATAAAAAATATTTCTTAATTGATAATAAAACACGTTAAACTTCTGTTCAAAGAGACAGTTTACGTAATTTCAAGTGAATATCCATTTACAGAGTGACATGTCTGATAGTTATTTTCCGAAGGATGGTTTACTAATAGAGCTTTATATTTTTCCGTTGTGAATCGGACATGAAACTTTTTAACTGAAGGGTCACTCGGAATTACAACTACAGTCTCTTCTAGAAGAATAAAATGTTCTCTGTTACCTAGATATTCCTTGTGTAAGGTTGAAACAATAATATTTTCAGCAGAACTTCTCCTTCTTCTCTCCAGGTCTCTCTCGTGTACAATCCTTGCTAGTACCTGGGAATACAGTTTTAGAATGTTGGAATTTTTTATGAAGAATTAACAAACCCAAACCAGATTTGAAAAAAAACCTACCTGGGTAGCATCCAGCGGGATACAACCAAACTTCTTAAACTCAGCGTGTATCAGGATACGAAGCGGGTTCCTCATCCGGTTGGTCCGGGAGAACCGGGACCATTTTCGAATTGCTCGGACCTCAGCCCTTCTCAGGTCTTGGACCCGGGACCTGGTCCAGAAACCAGAGGATTTAATTATTCTAGTTCTTTGAACGTTCCGACCTTCACCTAGAATAGTATACATTCACCTTGAATGGTAACCTATTATCATGGTTGTTATATCGTTAGAACAGACGAGGGTCAACCCAGACCGAAATATATTTTTATAAATGTGGAACTAACATCTACTTTTTTACTCTACAGAGGTTTGGTCCATCACCATCAACGAATTTTACTACTCTTATAATTCTAGGAATTATATTCTTCAATAATCTTATCCATTGCATTAATATAGATTTGTACTGTATTAATTTTCTTCCAGTTTTAGAAATATTTTTTTCGGAAAGCAATTTTTCAGATTTTTTCTAAACAAATAATACTAAAGGTTAAATCTTTAAGCCACCAGATTTGCGAGATCAGAACTATTTACATCATCCCAGTACGTCAGGGAATGTTTGAGGGTTTGAGGGGGTACAAAACTTATTGATATTATTATTAATAAATGAATCCAGACAGTTTAATAAAAAATCTATGTTTACCTTGAGATTTGATAAATCTGGTTTTCCTAAACCATCTCCCCACCAGGTCCAGAGATATATTGTGAAGATGGAGAGGTTTAGCTCGACGTACTCCGACCCTGGTAAGTTCAGGTAGGGTTGGAGCTAAACTCATTATTCTCCAGGTATCAATCAGTTCTAGTTCAAGGTTTAACTCATCCACGCTTAAACCTTTAACAAACCATATTCAAATATGTAAAGTATTGTATCCAGCTCCTAGATCCTTCTTATATTTAGAACCTCGCGCCGGCTCAAATCCTGAATCAACGATTCAAATCCTAATGAATATTACACATTCAATTCAAAATTTGAACCAATGGTAGGTAGTTCAGCGACCTAACTCAAATTGATTACAATTAGGTCACGGACCGACTTTCAGGGAACTGGATATAGTTGTGCAGTTTACAGGGTGAGTAAAAAAACCTAAAATTTTATTTGAAAATATTTTTTAAATTTTTGTTATGCTTGTATTTTCGGCATACAAAAAATTAAATATGATAAAAAATATCCTTGAAACCATTATTTTGAAAAATATATTTTTTTTTAAAATTTGTGTGAAAATGTTTTCATATTGTTTCGAAAAGTTTCATAACTGCAGTTCATTAAAAGCTGTAGAAAAAAAACAAAAAACCGCAAAAATTTCAGTTGAAATTTGTTAAAGTTTTCAAATTTTACCCTTAGAACTGTTAGGACATCAAAAATACAAAAAATTGGCCTACAATTATCTCATTTTTGATGAACTTGTTTGACTCACTTTAACATACAGACTTGAAACGACAAAACTGAGATTAATTAATGGTCTAGCTCTAAAAAATGAGAACCTGCAGACGTGCAGCTGCAGATGGAGATTTAGAATCAAGATTAATATATATATATATATAATATAGGTTGATTGTTAATAATAATAATATACATACATATGTATCAACTTCTTTATCATGTTCTAAGACTCATATTACCCCAAACCCCATAAAGTTGTTTTCCCCTTTCTCCTTAAAAAAGCTCATATTTTAAAAATGAAAGAGAAAAAAAATGGTAAAAATGGCCGGGCAACCTGAACCTACCGTATTAATGAGCTCCCTTGAGCATGATATTGGCTGACTGGGTCGGAGAAGAGTTTGATTCTCTTGTTTACATCCTGCTTCTGCTAGAATTACTCCAACCAGGGACTCTAGTATTTCTCCACCAGATACTTCGGCTAAGAATCTATCACAACCATCACGGCATCTAGAACAGTGCCAACTTATAGTGAGTCCCATACAACTGGGACAAAGGAAGACGACTTTCAAACTCAAGTTTTGAAATAAAATTGTACAAAAACATGACACAAAGTAATTATGTAACGAAGTGTACACTGCACTGGCCAATTTTACTTTACAAGTAAATTTTTAAGGCTTTTGTTAAAATTAATTGTCAAAAAAGGTATATTTAAGGTTTTCATGTATTACACCCAAAAAGTGCATTTAGATGCAAAAAATCTGCCATAAATTGTATTTAAGCTCCAGGAAATGATGAAATAACTGTTAAACAAATTCAAGTAATGAGCCACCTGCTATGTGAACCATTGGAAATTATCTTCAACAAATCGATTGAATCTGGAATAGTTCCTTTAAGCTGGCGGGAGGCCAATGTCACCCCAATATTTAAAAAAGGTGATACATCAATTGCATCCAATTACAGACCTGTTTTCCCTGACCAGTATTTGTGGAAAAATAAAGGAATCCATCATTTGTGACAAACTTGTTGAACGTTTAACATCACATGAGTTGTTATTCAATAGCCAACATGGTTTTCTTAAGAATAAATCTTGCTTAACCAACGTGCTTGAATTTATGGAATTCTTACATACAAATATGATGAGGGAAATGCTTTGGACATTATCTATCGTGATTTCTTGAAAGCCATTGATAGAAGAACAAAATATAAATTGTTGATATATATATACAACCTAGTTAAGCGAATCATGTTTCATAGTTATTTACAGCGCAGTTTAATATAGATCATGATATGGTTTTTACGTAGAAATTTACAACGCAGATAATTAATAATGCACAATGTAATTCAGGTTTACAGATATTGTGCTACACAATATTTATTACAGATCTACCACAAAATCTGTTGAAAATAGATCTACCACAGAATCTGTTATAAATAGATCTACTGCAAAATATTTTATAAATTGATGTACCACAAAATCTGTTATAAATAGATCTACCACACAATCTGTTATAAAAAGATCTTCCACAAAATCGGTTATACATAGATCTACCATAAAATCTGTTATAAATAGATCTATCACAAAATCTGTTGAAAATAGATCTACCAGAGAATCTGTTATAAATAGATCTACTGCAAAATATTTTATAAATTGATGTACCACAAAATCTGTTATAAATAGATCTACCACAAAATCTGTTATAAATAGATCTACCATAAAAGTTGTTATAAAAAGATCTACCACAAAATCGGTTATAAATAGATCTACCATAAAAGCTGTTACAAATAGATCTAACACAAAATCTGTTATTAATAGATTCACCACAAAATCCGTTTAAAAAAGGATCTACCAAAGAATCTGCTATAAATAGATCTACCACAAATTGTGTTATAAATAGATCTACCACAAAATCTGTTATGATTAGATCTACAAAAGAATCTGTTATATATAGATCTACCACAAAATCTGTTACAAATAATCTACCACAAAATCTGTTTTAAATAGATCTATCATAAAATCTGTTGAAAATAGATTTACCAGAAAATCTATAAATGAACACCAGAAATGAGATATGAAAGATATATTACCTCTGTAGTGTAAGTACAGACCAACTGGGTACAAAACCAGTTTCTAGAAGCTGGATATACATACTCCGAAGTTCAAGATACATCTTTAGTAAAGCTGGCACAGAGTTCAATGCAATACCTGAAGAAGAAAAACCAACGTTTAAAAACCAGTTCCAGAGGTCTACATGTTATGTTAAAAAAATCATATCAGAGCGAACTATCGAAAATTACCGAAGACCGTTCTACAATGAAACATAATAAAATTTTTAAACGTCCACAGAGACATCATTTACTCAAGATAATATTTAATGAAAATATTCTTATTGTTTAAAAGTAGGCCTACCTAGAGTCGATAGTTTGGCAATTAATGAAGCAGAGGGGAGAAGTTTAACATCATTTACTTCCTCTGATACGGAGGGTGAATCCATTACAACAGTTTGATTTACAACAGGAGGACAATTCTCACTAAAATCATTTTTTTGTTTCGATAGATCCAGCTCAATCTCATTGTTATGAATCATAGAATTATTGATTTCTCCCTCTTCTAGTTTTATCTCTTGTTTTATTTCCATCTTTATATCAGATTCTTGAACCAAGGGTTTTATCTGCTCCGGATCCTGGGTTGGATAAATACTCACGTCCGGAGCTATTTCAACATTAGCCTGGAGAACAGGTTCATGACGGGGCATGATAACCGCTCCCCCTGGAAGCTTGATGGAGTCCTTCTTGAACATCTCCTGGAGTTTGGAGTTGTCTACCTGTACCGTGATGGTCTGTAGAACCGTAGCTGGTATATCTGGAGGTAGGATAAGGTTCCTACCCTCAAGTATACCCTTGATCTCCAGATACAGCTGACCAGACACCTCAAAATGTTCAGGCATAGAACTGTTCTGCTTTGTTCTCCACCATTTATACTTCTTAATCAGCTGTTTCTTAGAGGCCTTGTAGTTTGGGAACTTAAGCTTAAACTCTTCCAACCAAAGATCTCCAAGTTGTATGGATTGATTGTTCAGCTGGAAGATCCGTTTTCGATAAACTGCTCGCCTTCGGGCAGGACCAAGCTCATTCAACATCTCTACACTCCAGTTCCGAGATATATTCTCCAGTATAGTTGATCCTACATCTCCTGTATTCTGCATCACAAGCTTTCCAGATTTTATTTCAGATCTGAAGATATAACATTTAGTTAAAAGAACATTAGGACCTACAGGACAAGATGGATACTTCTTCTTAAACTCTGTATGTAAGATGGTTGCCAGCTTTGTATCCGGATGCTTATTCTTCGACGCAACAGCCAGCTTGTGCGCCTGCAGCAGATCTGTTACGGCCTGCTGGGTCCAGCGCATTTGACCTCGCGCATTCAAACAGTTGGCAATGACAGGTGGATCTGGGGCAAATATCTTAACAGGTTCAATCCGTGGTACTATTCGAACCGGTTTCTTTGCCAGACGATCAATGACAGGCGGAGAAATGTTCGCATCGTCCAATCTGTCCAAGATAAACTCTACGCCATCCCTTCTACCTGGATTCAAACTTCTCCACTCCTCCAACAATCTGCTCATTAGATACTCATTCTTATCTATCAGCCTGGAGGCCAACAATCTTAGAGACTGGTTCAATTTTGGGCTCCAGGGTAGGATTATATCAGGCTGGGTTTCCTTAGTCTCCAACCGTCTTATCAAGGCCTCAAGTTGTGCTGGAGATTCTTTACTACCAGGATACAGATTACTCCATTCAGAGTGGAGTAATGGAGCAAACCCTACAGATCTAACACTCATTGAAGTTCCGGGATTCTTCATTTTATTTTCCACCATCTCAGCTATATTGGCGAGCTGAGCCAACCTCTCCTCCGTCCAGAAATCTGGGAGCTTGGGTCCCCTCCTCTCCGTGTTCTCCCTGTTGTTCCAGTACCAGAAATGAACACTTAACAAACACTTATTTAATTTTCATAATAATAAACAGTTTTAGACTGAGCATAGATAATTCAGGGATATTTATTGGTAAAGTAACTGTAGACGTAATGAGTCTCCATGTGGTAAATTCTACACTCTTAAAAGTTTAAAACCTATATCTGATTGAGATTTAATAAGATATCTTTATTTGTCCACAGCTGAAAACTTTAGAATGAGATATCCTTAATCCCGATTACTTAATCTGAGGATTCAGTGGACACACTTTTGATTTTCTTCTTAAACCGTTCTTTCTTGGATAAAGTAGAGAAAAATCAAAAACCGGGTTTTTTTGATTTAGAGAGTCCCTCCCGTTTCTGTTTATAATCTTAAATGGCGCGCAAAATTACAAATTTATCGGCTTCATATATGCGGCTCTGATAGGTTGAATTTTATACACTTTTCAGGATACAAGTACAAGATTAAGTTAGTCTCGATATTAAGAAAAAGAGAGGATCAAGCATTAATCTCAATATCCACCATTCTAAAGTTTTCAGCTCAGCATACAATGGGTTGTGGTTTCACATTTACTATTCAAAGGTAGTGTACGATTTTTTAGACAGGAATGGAGGATCCCTTGAAATTCCGTCTACAGTCCCTTTAATAATTATTATTTCCAATGTGTTGTTTACCTGAGATTGTTAGCTGTATATGTACAAGCTGGATATATTTTCTTAAACTCCCTGATCCAGAGTTTAGAGTAGGATACTTTACGTCCCTGTTCCAGCTCCCGACCTTGTATAGCTATTGCCTAAAATGGAATAAAATAAAATGATGATAATGATGATAAAAATGATATTACTGATAATAGTTATAATGATAATAATAATGATAGAAATGATAATAATGATAGAAATGATAATATTGATAATTATGATAAAAATAGTGATAATAATAATAAAACTAAAATTAAATGTTTTAAAAGATTATTGAACATGATAAAAATTATGAAAATAAAGAATTTTTTTTATTGAAAATAATGAAAGATAAAATGCTCTGATTCGATCAAGTAGAAGACAAGTCTGATACCTTAGCCCTAGTTGCGATGACATCAGGCATCATGGCCTGGCTGTCCCAGATAAACTTGTCCTGGGTGCTGTCCTCTGTCCTCTCCTTAACCTTGACTTCAGTAACCACATTCTCCTTTTAATACAGATTATGAATATTTTTCTAGTCTTTTTTCAGGGGCGTACACAGAAATTTTTCCTTTTTTAATTTTGGCCTGGAACACACCATCAATTTTACTGATAATGGGGGGGGNACAACCCCTCCCCCCCCCACTTGTTTAAGCCTCTGTCTTCTTTATAATTTTGAGTTGCACTAATGTTCAACAACTATTAATTTGAGTGCAATTTCAAAACTTTCTTGGTTTTTAAAGAGTCTGTAATCTTAACTTCAAGTGACCCATCATGCAATGATGGATATGCCAAATTTACAACGGTAACCAATTGAAACCCTCTTCTGATAAAAATGTTTCTTATCTTTTGTAGAGAAACTCCAGATAAAAATAATTAAAAAAAAAAAAAATTACGAAAAAATGGATTTAGAAAAAGATCATGAAAGTTCCCCAATGTGGGATCCCCAGACTGACGTCTGAGTGAGGGTCTCAGTCAGGTGCTGATTCCCCCACCAGTTCAATTCATACTTTTAAGGGTACTGTTGTAAATCGGGCGTTGCCATCTTTGCATTGAGGGTCACTTGAATTTACACTTACAATTTAAATACTTGCATGTATTTCAGAGTTCCGACCTGGGTATAATTTTTAATAATCTGAACTGAAACTCTTGTATTTGATACCCGTAATCCCGATTACTACTACAATTTTGATTTTCTGCTTAATCTTCTCTTTTGGATATCCATGCTAGGTTCGGACCAATCAGAGGTCTTTCACTGATTATGCGCCAACATTTTAAAATTTCTCGGCTTCTAGTTCGCTGATCGGTTTCTACAATCAACACTGCAGGTTAATTTTGAACATACAAAAGTGGAAACATTTTGAAAATCTCAAGATCAGGCATTTTCGATATTAGATGTGTAAGCTTAACTACAGCAATAATTGTGTCCGTGAAAAATGCCGCGTGGATCGAAGACGATATAAAACTCGTCACTGAATTATCATGTTTATTGAGACACCCTGTAACAAAGTGTCCACCAGCATTCGGTAGAACTAATGAGTTCTTCCTTTTGTCAAAATTTACCTGGTTCGGCTGCTGGGACATCTTGGGTAGAAGGTTGTGTTGACCAAGCCGAAGTTTTATCATCTCCTTGTTGGATTTCAAGAACCGGATCCGTACCAGGAAGGATTTAACAGTTTCCGTTGTACTCGGGTATAAACTCATCCATTCTGCTAGGAGAAGAGGGACAAGTTTCATCCCTGGGTCCTCAACCTGAGATTAGATATTATGAATAGCAACAACTCGTATAATCGTATCAACCATGTAACAATTTACAAATCAGAATTTTAAACTAAATTCCAATAACCATTGAAAAAATGAATTAATTAGTTTTAACTATATTTTTTTTTGGGGGGGGGGGGGAAGGGAGATTTACTTTTGTATCATCTAAACCCCACAAGATCCAATAAAATTGAATAAATTTATTAGGTTTCTTGATCTTATTGTTGAACAGTTAATTAAGATCCTTAATATTGCTGGGGTTTTTTCCTTCCTCGCGTTTTTATTTCGCGATAAAATCGATTTATCGAAAACATATTTATTTTTTAACGTTTATTTGAAAGCACTTTGCATGATTGGTGAGCATAAATATATGCATAAATATATATGGATTGTTTTAAAAATATTGAAAAAAAAACTTTCAAGATTTAAAAAAATGTTAAAAAGTTAAAGTTTGTATTTATTAAACTTTGCACTATCGTCAATCGTTATCCTAAAAACATAAAAAAAAACGATCGGTACAACACGGTTCTTTATTCTTAATTTTTTGGTCGTTTTTTGCATATATCTTCTGTCAGAGTGAAAACTTGACACAGTGCAAGAAAAACAAATGCATAGAATACATTTTTAGATAAAATTACTTTTCTTACATTGTGCCAAATTTTAAGCTTGAAAGAAAATTACGACAAAAAAACGAGCCAAAAATGAAGGAGCTAAAGGCCCATCAATACCTTCATCTGAGTATATTTTCTCCTGGCTTTATCCATACAGGATATAAAGTCTCGAACCATCCCTGCATATTCAATAGTATATATAATATCAATTATTTGTAAAGGTTATCAGGGGTTACATTGATAATCAGTAAATATACGATACGCATTGTAAGGAACATATGAAATGGAAATTGCAAGAGATTGTGAACCCCACAAAGAGAAACATTTGAATACAGATCAAACAGAGAACATTTCTAAATAGATCAAACAGAGAAAATTTGTTACATATATTAAACAGAGAAACACTTGAATACAGATCAGAGAACATTTCTAAATAGATCAACCAGAGAACATTTGTACATATATTAAACAGAGAAACATTTGTATAGAGATCAATCAGAGAACATTTCTATATAGATCAAACAGAGAAACATTTGTATATAGATCAATCAGAGATCATTTGTTAAATATATTGACAAGAGAAACACTTGAATACAGATCAGAGAACATTTCTAAATAGATCAAACAGAGAACATTTGTACATATATTAAACAGAGAAACATTTGTTTACAGATCAATCAGAGAACATTTCTATATAGATCAAACAGAGAACATTTGTACATATATTAAAAAGAGAAACATTTGTTTACAGATCAATCAGAGAACATTTCTATATAGATCAAACAGAGAACATTTGTACATATATTAAATAGAGAAACATTTGTTTACAGATCAATCAGAGAACATTTCTATATAGAACAAACAGAGAACATTTGAATATAAATTTTGAGTGATTCCTACCTAAACTCCAGTCTGTAAACCCATCAATATCACTGCTTATATTCTTGGGTTTTCCATCTTCTTTCTTCTTCTTAGAAACCTATTCACAAAATTAATAAAACTTTAGATATGACATTTGAGCGTTTTTTATTTTTCATATATTCGACTTTCCCGTGTGTATTGTTTTTTTTGAAATTGTTAATTACTGAATAAGATTTTGTTTTTTATTTAGTCAATTGATAAATTTTACAACAAATCGATGAAAAAGTTCCACCCTAAAAATAATGTGTCATAAATATTGGACATAAAATGTCCCGGTGTTGAGAATATTATGTACCTGTGGCGGAGGTTCTTCTTCCTCCTCTACCAGATCAGGGAGTGGATCCCGGAGTTTAGAGAGTAAACTCCGCCCTGACTCCATACAGGACGGATGCCGGCGTTGGAAAGCTCCGAGAAGCTTCTGTGAGAATTCTTTAGAGCTTTGATCTATATCAGGCTCCTCTGGAAAACAGGGAAAATATTAAAGGGACTGTAGTTGTAAATTCAAGTGTCTCTCTATCTAATGTGGGGCATGACAAATTCACAACGGTACCCTTGGAACCTTTATAGGTTCAGTAATGTGGAAGATAATGTCGTTTTTCTAGCTTGAAAAGTGTTTAATTCTAATAATTCCTACATTGTTTTCACTTTTTTGGGGGAAACCACAAGATCAGCTTTGAAAATTTTAAATAGGGATATCTAATTCTAATTCATGCTTAATCATGCTTAAAGGTACTGCTGTGAATCCGACATTCCATACTTTAAATAAAGGGTCACTTGAAATTACGCCAACATAAACCTTTTAATTTCAATATTTTTCAGTATTCAGTTGCAAAACTGTGGAGAGTGTACTATTGCTAGGTTCATATTGATTGAATTATTTAAAGGAAGTGACCGGCTATGTAAGGTAGTTGAACTGAAGACGCAGTGTTGTGGAAAACTTCTTTAGGATTCATTTGAGACATATTTCACTTTTTAAAGGTCTGTAAATCCTGAGTTTGAGCGCAAATTCGACGTTCAAAACTCCTGATTTGGGGGTGGATACGCTTTCAGAATTAGTTTTTTTTTAATTATTAATTAACGACGACATAAAATGTAAAAATATTCTACAAAAAACAACAGACGTCATATTTAGGAACATTTTGAGAAAATAGAAATTAATCTTATCATCGAAAATAAGTAATCTCGTTCAATTATTAGTTTCTATTATCTCATTATTCTAGTTTCTCGTTATTCACAAAGATGTTCGCAGATTTTCTATAATTATTATTGAAAAGACGACATTTAAAGAATTTGAAGAAATCTGCGAATAAATTCAAAGAAAATTAGAAATTCAATATAATAATGAAAACGAAATAATCGATTTTAGCATTGATTTATTGACAAATTTCTTTTGTGAAATATGTTCCTAGCCATCTAATTAGATTACTGTATAATTTTTACTTTATTTTTCGTTGTCGTTATTTAATAATTAAAAAAAAAAAACTAATTCTGAAAGCGTATCAACCCCAAAATCAGGAGTTTTGAACGTCGAATTTGCGCTCAAACTCAGGATTTACAGATCTGTAAAAAGTGAAATATGTCTCAAGTGAATACTAAAGAAGTTTTCGACAACACTGCATACTCACTACTCAGTTCAATTACCTTACATAGCCGGTCACTCCCTTTAAAACTAATTGAATCTCCACAGTTTTATGAGCTGTTTGTTATTTAAAAGATTTGTCTGTTTATTTATTTTTTGTTGAATTTAAAGTTTAATTAGCATTATCTGACGGAGTAGGATCATTTACCTTCAAATATGAGATCTCTGAGAATAAGAAGATCCTCTTGCATTGATCGGTTCCATTGTCTGAATCCTTTAATATCTTCCATCTCGTCTTCAACTCCATTTCCAACACGGGGCCTAAAATATCACACGTCAGATTAAAGTAAATTCCACGTTAGACTGAAATCTTACATATTAATGAAACTAAAATAAATACGAGGTCACAAGGTCGAACCAGTGATTTTACATAATTTAAACCTTCTCTTTTTGTCTAGTTTAGTGTTATTCAAGGACTTAAAGGGACTGAAAATAAAAAAATAAAAGGGCCGGGTATAGGCTTAATCCTCAAAACTTCAGGAATTGAAATTCAAAGGTTTCATCCTATACCCCCTTTAATTTTTCCTTTACAGTCCCTTTAAAGAAGAACAGAAATAACCAAAAGAAACATAAAAATGTAACTTTATTTAAACTGAATCTTTTAAACATTTTTTAAAACAAATTCAATGAAATCATTATTTAATATCTGTGTTTTCTTCTAGATTAATTCTTACCTAGGAATAGGAGTCGACTTATCCAACTTCTGGTCTGCACCATCTAAGCTGTCTCTACGCTCTGCTCCGAAATGGTATTGGAACCTTGACACAATATGCTTCCATTCAATATTGATGTTTGGATACAGCTGTTCCCAGTTCTCCCGCCATACTCTGGTCAGCTCAACAGCTGATCCAGTTGGACCAACCTCTACCTCAGCCTTCTCACGGGTAGATCTAGTAACAATAACAATAACAATAACAATTACAAAAACAAAAACAAAAACAAAAACAAAAACAAAAACAAAAACAATTACATAAACAATAACAATAACAGACAATTACAAAAACAAAAACAACAACAAAGACCATAACAATATAAATAACATTAACATTAACATTAACATTAACATTAACATTAACAACCATATACAGGCCTGAATATGTCACTATAAAGTAGGATCCCAGCAGTTTATGAAGAAAGTTTCTAATCTAAACCTGATATGTTCTATCATGTTTGGAGTCCAGTTTATCCGTCCCCCTTCTGAAACAGTATCCCGAGATAGAATCTGTGGGGCCCGATCATACCGACCTGAACAATGTATAATCAGATCTCAGGATCCATTTCATTTTGATGCGGATCCGGATCCTAAAACAGCCCTGAAAAAATTTGGATCAGGATCCAGGTTATAAACACTGATTTTATTTAAAAAAGAAGAATTTTTAAATTTTTTCTCTTCTTTTTTCATGAATTTTTATGCTAAAACTTGATGATCCATTAGGAGATAAGGAAATTTTAAATAATCTCACTTTTTAAACAATTCAGATTTTGGTTTTGAGAGTAAATTTCAATTTTACAGTTTTGGTTGTTGGCCCCCTGACAAAGAAATTTTAATCAAGTTTAAACTTGGATTAATAGTCAAACAATATATACTTATGTAAATGTACTAAGGCCAAGTGAGGTAAGGTTTAGGACAGTATGTCAAGACTACTGAATTCAAACAAGGGTCAAGTGAGGTCAAATGAGGCCAAGTAAGGTCAAACGAGGTATTTCTTGTCAAAAAAGACCAAGCCAAGTCAACTGAGGTCATTTTAGATCAAATAAGGTAATTTTTTATCAAACGAGGTAATCTAAGGTCAAATGAGGTTATAAAAGGTAAAATTAAGGTAATTTAAGGTGAAATTATGGTAATTTTATGTCGATTTAGGTCATTTTATGACCAATGGATCCTTTAGAGTAAAAAAAGTCATAAAAATATTAAGCCAGGTCGAGTGCAACCAATTGAAACAAAAAAGATTAAGTGATGTTAAGTTAAGTAGAATGTGGTCAAATATGACCAAGGGGTGTCAAATTATGTCATATGAAGTCAAGTCAGGTCAAATGGTCTTTAAGGGTACCTCAATGAGGTCAGTTCAAATGAGGATTTGAGGCTGGCCACAAAAGGTCAATTGAGGTCAAGTGATGTTGACAAACCTATTTTCATACTGATGGTTTTATTATTCTCTTGTGATCCAGGATAATGACGCTTCCATTCATTGAGGAGAAGTTTAGCAAACCCTGGAGGTTTCTTTCCAGGCTTGTAAATATCTAAACCTAAATAACAAATTTAAAAAAAATAAAAAATTTAAAATAAAAAAGTTCAAACTTAATTTCAGTCGCCACCAAAAATAGTTTATAAATTAATGATTTTAAGAAAAGAATTTTAAGATTTCATTGATTTAACAAGTACAAAATTATGTATAAAAGTTTAGTGAGAACCAGAAAAATTGTGTAATTAATGGCGTTTGTTCTTTTCTAATGTAATGTCGTTGAATTTGTAATTTGAAATTGTACAAAAAAAAGTTCATGGAACCTTTTAATAAATAGTTCAGTTACGTTTACAAATTACAAAATTCTATGGATAAAAGAAACTAGTAGACGACTAGGATTCTACTGTTTTTCTAGTTTTCACTGTTTCATGCATTATGTACAATGATGGTTGGACACTGGACAGTGTTTCCGATGCTAAATTGAAGTAAATCATGTATTATACAGGGCGACCCACACAAGATAAGACTGTAAAAACGACCTAAAAACTCTTTCAATGTGACATTTGCTTGGGTTCATTAAGTCCTCTGCATGAATGTAATAGTTTGAAGCCTTTTTAACTATTGGGCAAAGAAAAAAAACAAGTTTACAGATACACAGAAGGTAATGTTACATCGTCTATACGCAATATACCCCTTACTGAACTTCTGACCTACTGCAATGTCGAACCAACGCCAGCTGTTTATGTTTGTATTTTTGAGGGTAAGGTTAAGTTAAGACAATTTCTGGGCCGAGGGGCTGCGGCTAGGACAGTCTAGGGGGTCGGGCGCTGCGGCCACAAGTCCATCCACCTGCTAGTACGTGCTAGTAGGTCGGATGTGTAGTACAGCGGATTTGGCGTAGGTCAGAAGTTAAGTACAGTAAATTTGCGTAGGTCGAAAGATGCACTATCACACGGAATCATTAATATAATAAAACAGACAGATTAAATTCAGTGAAGTCGTCTCTCTGAAGTCCTGTATATGTAACCCTGTATTATCTATATATATAAAGCTGCAATCTCTGTTTGTATGTTTGTATGTACAATCATAACTCATAAACTCCTTGACCAATTCGCCTCATATTTTGATTGGCCGGAACTCGGGAGAACCACAGGAACGTTATTAGCTTAGTTTTGAGATTTTAGGTTGAGTGGGTCCACTTTTATAGGGAAAAATAGCTAAGATCGTACTTTACGGCAAAACGCGGGTAAACTGCGGGACTAACTATGACCAGCCTGGGATCCCAAGCTAATTATCAAATAAAATTCACCTGGAAACTTAGGAACAAGAGAGTTTCTCATTTGAAGGAGTTGATCAGTAAGAATACATTCATAACTTTTATTCTCATCATCGTAGAAAACATGTATATAATGATGCTCGCAGATCCACTAGTAATAAATCAAATTAATCCTTTGTTCAGAAAAATTCGATAATTATCTAAGTCAGTGCAAATATAATTGCTAGAAAAGCAGTTTCTAGAAGAATTAGAGTGCAAGTCACTTTATGGGACTTTTTATGGGACTTATTTTACAGAGTTGCATGTTCAATTCAATATGGTACCTATTTTACCAAACTCTGCAGAGTGCACAAGTTAATGAGTATATCTCCGTTTCACTATTGTATAAATTTTAACTTTAGTACAGTGGTCGGCGGTTATATCAATACAATGGTCGGCGGTTATATCAATACAATGAAGATGACTTTTCCATTTTTAAGTTTTAATTTCTAAGTCTTTTTTTAAACTACAAGTTTGCAAGTTTACAAGTACACAAAGAAAAGCTTTAACAACTTCTCTTTGTTTTCATGATGTATTAATGCTGTTTGAAAATAAAACCTTGGTAGAAATAAAAATTAAATCTAAAGAAGTCTTTCGGGAAAAATATTTGCAACAACCTAGATTGATTTAATAGCTTACTTTAGATTTTGGCAGGTTTGGATATTCTTTCGGAACCTCCTTGCAGATATATTTAGCTCCAGGAGCAACAGGAAGTTCAGGAACAGGATCAATTATAGGATCAGCTCCAGGTACAGAAAAATACTCAGGATCCTCAATAATACCTCCTCCTGGAGTAGATACATTCTCAAAATGTCCGTTCTGTTCATCAAATCTGAAATTATATAAATAAAATTTTGAAAACTCAAGATTCTTCATAAACACATATCCAAAAAATCCGGCCTATAAATTCTTTTGTTTTGGTAGAATAAAAGTTTTCAAATGTTTTATTATGTGATTTGTTCTCGTCTCGTTGGCCCTGACTCATTTGTCAACTATTAAAGGGACTGTAAGCGCAATTTAAAGTGACTCTTCGTGGAAAGATGATAATGCCTGTTTCACAACGGTACCTTTAAACCTATATCTGATCAACAAAAGTTTAGAAGATTTTGTCGTTTTTCTATGATTAAAAGTATTTATTTCTGATAATTCCTAAATTTTTCCTGCAGTAGAAATGCACTCATCACTTACTTAGAGAAACCGAAATTGAAAATAATCAGTTTTCAACATTTTAATCACTGATATCTAAGTCATACTTGATCAGACCAAGCTTTTAAAGAAACCGTTGTGAATCGGGCATTGTCATGTCTTTGCATGGAGGGTCCTTTTAAATTGCACTTTTAAAAATAAAAAGATTTTAAATGTATTATTGTTGATATTTTACCACTTAGGTAATGGGTATGGATCCGAATTCAGACAGTCAACATTTTTGCTTATAAATAAACAACGAATATTATTAGTCAAAACCCTTGTAAAATATCAACAACAAAAAATCAAATACCAGATTCGCATTTTTTAAAAAGTATGTCACCTTGAATGTGTTCCCAAGAGAGCGTTTAAAGAAGATTCTGAATTTTGTTGTGCGTAAACCATTCCTCCTCCTCCAATAGAATTTATTCTCTTCTTGGAATGATACAAATACCTAAAACAAATATTAAAAAATATTAGAAACAAATATTGTCATGAATATGCATCTTTTATTGTACGTGTTGCCGATAAAGAAAATATCTAATATAATTTCGTGAGAACCACGGGAATGTTCTTAGATTGGTTTTGAGATTCTAATTTGAGTGTGTCGACTTTTATATGGAAAAATAGCTTAAATCGAAATTTAATATTAAGTCGAGGTAATCTATTAGTATTGAGTACCCAGGGCAACGCTGGGTTCCCAAGCTAATATTTTCATAAAGAATACGCATCTTTTGTTTTACGCATTGCTGATAAAGAACAAATTTTGTAAAATATTATTGTTATCTCTTGACTTATGAATCCTCATTTTCTTATGCTTTTATGGGAAGGAGGCAAATGTAATGTTAAATTACTGTGGAAACCCGGCTTTTTCTGTAAACTAAGTTCACCCTGTAAAAATTAACCTGCTTAATTTAGGATTTCTAAACCTATCTAAGAACATTCCCGTGGTTCTACTCGACCAAGTTTCACGATAAAAATGTGAGGCAAATCGGTCAAGAGGTTCATGAGTTATTATCGAACATATAAACAGACAAAAAGAGATTACAACTTTGTAAATACAATATACGTATACAAATACCTTGAATATAAGTTTTCTTTTGTGATAAAGTTGTGATTTGGGTTCTTCTGTAACCAGAGTTCATGCCATCTCCTAATTTTTTTGCTGTTATTATATATTTGTTTATTCATTTGGACAAAATTCTGAGTTTATATGATTTATTTAGTAATTTAAAGGGACTGTAAGCGTAAATTTTAATTTACAATCGTACTCTTGAAAGCTTTGCCTGATTAAGTTTTGAATTGGATATCCATGTTTTTGTTTCTTTAATCTGTTTATTTTAATTTTCAGGTTCTCTGCGAAAATGAGCAGCGCATTTCTTGTTAATAAGAAGCAGTGGAAAAATTATCAGAATTAAACACTTTTCGAGTCAGAACAACGACGGTATCTTTCACATTATTGATCAGATTAAAGTTTCAAGGGTAAATCGATGTAAACAAAGGAATTGCCATCTTTAGATGGAGGGTCACTTGAAATAACGCAAACAGTCCATTGGATTGAAGACAAAACAGAAATGAATGCTGCGTCGAGCCGACTATTTTTAAGTGTTTAAGATTACCTTGAGAGTACATTATTAATTTCAGTATTTAATTCCTGAACAGCTTTAGTTCTAGTCTCAAACATATCCTCTATCATAGACTCAGTCCAAACTGCAGCAGGTTTCTGAACCTACAGTACATAAGCAGTACAAAAATAGTACATAATTTGTACGGAAATAGAAGCAAATGTAGTGTTAAAACCCTACTACAATATTTAACTCAAATTTGTTAATCCCTATTTCTTGGCAACCTGGTGGAGTTAATATTTGTTATTTCAAACTATCACAATATCATCTAGCAAGTATCTAAACCTGCAGTACATTACCAATACATAATTAGTACATAATAAGTACATAATCAGCACACAAATTAAAGCAAATTTAATGAGAAGAAACTGATTTTAAGCATCTGACTCAAATATCCTATATCTCGGAAACCTTGTGCAGTTAACCTTTGTTATTTCAAAATATTACAATATTATCTTGCAGAATTCGTATTTTAAATACATTGCAATACAATACAATACAATTTTAAATACATTGGCAAGAAGTAAAAAAAATGTGTTAAATATACAAAATTTTGCATAAATAGAATAAAAAAATACATAATAAACAATTTTTTATCTTATTTTAAAGATATTCACATTTACTGGATGTTTTTCACGTGTTTAATTTTGATTCAAGTTTTTTTTTGGTATTTTGTACTTTCTCTAATTGAATGAATTGAGTTTTGAGACTGTTTAGTGTTTACCTTTGACGAATAATTGTCTGATTTTGATTTCTTGAGCGGAGTAGGAGCTGGTGACATAGCAGGAGAAGTATCTGTACTCCATGATCTCTTGAAGGTGAGTTTACTAGGGGTAGAGCTGGATTCAACCTCAGCTACCGGAGCTGCTGGGGGAACTAGTCCAGAATGTGTTCTAAAATTTATTAATTTGTTAATGGACTTCATCCTTTAGGGGATTGTTTAATGAAGGTTTCAATGGAACATCTATTGTTGTGATAGAATGTCGATTCACAATGGTACCCTGTAAATCTTTGTCTGATAATGGATGACCAAGATATTCAAGTTTATCTGGCTGAAAATCGATTTTTTAAATTCTGGGCTCTCTGTAAAAGGGACTTGTAGAATACAGATTAATGCAGCAAAGACATTAAAGGATATTCAATTCAAAATGTGTTGAAAAAGTGATACAAACTAATTAAAATAAATATTTGAACATGAGAACCATGTTATTTACAAATCTGATGTAAAAACAAACCTTTCATGGACTGTAAATCTAGACTTGAGGTTTCTAGCTGTCAGGGTGGAGTTGGGATAAAGGATCTTCCATTCAGTTTCGAGATCAGTCCCTTTCTTTTTTCCCATCCGTACTGAGTAGTGGAGATTACTAGACACGGAGAAACCGATCAAATCTTGTAATTTCTCAACAGGAAAACAAACTAGGGATTTAATGACATGTTTTTTTACAAACCTGTTCTATGATTTAGCTTTTAAAATGTGGGGTCATAAAATGGATTTCAGTGCTTAAGATGTTAATGTGGATCCGGATCCCGGATCCGAATTGGAAAAAAGGATCCGGATCCCATTTTAGTACAACTAAATATTAAATATTATTTTAAGTTTCTTTAATTGTTTAAATTATTTGTTTGATAGATTCCTGAGCATAGCAGCACTCCATTGTCTGTCGGAGTGGTCGGAGAGTGAAATAACTCCGCTTGTCTCAGGCGGAGTCAAGGCGGAACAATCATTCGCCTCCGGTTCAGCATTCGCCGTAGGAGAGGACTTTTTCTTGAGAAGAGATATGATCACTGGAGAACCATTATTCTCGGTTTGATTAATTGAAAGTTTTCTTTTTAAAGAAGGAAAAGGTTCAACCTTAAAAGAAAAGAAAATCAAATAATAAAATTGTATGTCAATAAAAAATGAGGGACGGATTGAGGGGTGTGGAATGTGAGCGGAATTTTTGAATTTTTGTTGAAATTCTGATTTAATATTTTTTGTACGTCAATCATTATCATTTAAAAAAAAAACAGCCATTCATTACATGCATTTAGAAGGGAATATTGAATAAATAGTTGTGACAACGATAAAGATATTTAAATTTGTCAAAACTTTAAACTGTTTAATACATTTTAACCAACAGAAGAAAAAAAACTGAACCTCATCAAATTTAACTAATAGTTATTTTTTATGGCATAATTTGTTAGGAAAGTTATAATGCTAACTCCTTAAAATTATATTTATCAAAGTCGGCGTAAACTGAACAAAATAAAGTCTTCTCACCTTTTTCGGGGGTTTCTTGAAAATAGATTCGTAAAGCTCTACAAGTTCCTTCCCTGATAAAGAACTGCTTGGATAAATAAGTTGCCATTCCTAAATTGCAAACAATTATTTGACAAAAAGTTCCTGTTTGAAAGGGGACCCTCAAGCAAAAAATGGCAATGCCCGAATCAGTACAGAAAACATATAAAATTATCAGAGTTTAAAACTTTTAAACCTAAAAAATACGATTTATTTTGTAGGTATCCCTGTACTTAAAGATGTATTTCCATTGACATTGACTACTGTGCAGAAAGATATATGGTTTGAATTTAAGAAGTCTCCTGCTTTTAAAAATTTGTATGGCTCAATGTATTATTGCGAGGTCAGGGGCGCACCCGGGAATTTGTTGTGGGGGTGAGGTTTACGTGTTTTCTTTCTTTCCAGGGAAGGCTCAGCACTTGTTGCAGACCTGAAAACCCCTTGGAAACCCCAGATTTTACTAATCCACGGGGGACCCGAGAGGGGGGGGCTGAGCACACATAGCCCCCCCCCTGAGTACGCCCCTGTTTGCGATATTTACCTTTAGAAGGAGAGAAGACAACGATGCATTAAGATGATGTCGCTTTTTCTGAAGAACTTTAGAATGGGCCTTGTTCCTATATAAAAAATAAACAAATTTAAAATCTTATTAACTTGGGCACTTTTTGGTAGGTTCAGTTACAGTAAATTTTATCCTATCGGTATAATTTCAAATTACTCCCCCCCCCCCCC